GGGACGTCCCCCCCAAGCGCGGTTGTGGTCCGTGCGCACCGTGGAAAAGGGTCGCCCTTTTGGCGCCCTCTCACGCCGAGGAGGTGTCAGCCAGAGGCCCTGGTGTCCCGGCCCGCAAGCCCGGAGTTTCCAGAGTTGAGCCTCGGTCCAGCCGCGTTCCGGGAACTCGGCCATTGCATCATCGCCGCCTTCCACCGCCACATCCTCTGCACCTTGACCTCGGCCCCCTTTCCCGGAGCCGTGCGCAGCCCCAGCCCAGTGCCGAGGGCCTGGACCGGTGCCAGGGAGCTGTGTGCAGAGGACTTGCCTTGGTCCTGACCTTCACCTCCACCCACCGCTCTTCAGTCCCTCCCTGCCCGGGTCCAGTAGGGCGAAGGTGTGACGCTGGGCCTGCCCTCCCTGGGGTCTCTCCTCTCCTCCCTCCCTCTCTTTCCCCACCTTGCCTTCCTGCCCCCCCTTCTGTTTCTCCTCTCCTCCTTCCCTCTCTCCCTCCCTTCCTTCCTCTCCATCTGAAGGGATGTACAGGCACATTTATCTGAGTCCCAGGCAAGCCACCCACTAACCAACGAGGGACCTGAAAAGACATCCTGAACCCCAGTACTTATAAACATCAACACAGGCATTGGGACAACGGACAAGCAGAACTTCCCAGGGGCCTCCCACAGCCCACCCCACTCCAGGAGACAGAGATTCTGGTAACAGAGATGCGCCCCAGGGCTGAGGTGCTGCTGGGTGACTGTAGACAGGCGTTACTCAATCAACAGAGCTGTTGCTTCTGTCGTGGGTACCTGACTAGATTGCACACACCTAGTCGGCCTGCGTCCTCTTTTAATCACTTTCACTCTTTGAACTATAAAAACAGCCCCAAAGGCAAACATTCTTGATGAGTCTCTTTTCAACAGCAGAACTAAATGAGAGGTAAGTAAGGAGTGAAATAACCCAGTTCACAGTGCTGAAAACTGATCTGATGAGAGTGGCGTGGGGGGAAGGAAAGAGAAAGTCCAAGAGAAGAATTTCTTTTGGCCCAAGTGTGATTTTGGTGCCTCTGCTGTATCAAGTTCAAACCTGGTTGGGACAAAGTGACAGAAAAGGAACCTAGTTCTGGAAATAAATTGACCCACATTCTCCATAGCGATAGAGCCCTCGCTTTTGTGTAGGTAGATAGAGATATGAGAGAGAGAGAGAGAGAGAGAGAGAGAGAGAGAGAGAGAGAGAGAGAGAGATAAAACCTCATTATTCTCTCTCTATATGAATATATAGTCAGAAAATATGAATTGTGTGAAAGAAAATGCCCAAATAGTGGTGCAGGCGAGAGCTGGCATGCAGGCATTCCTCTGCACTGTCCTGAGGACCCCGGCTGTCTGTCGTCCTGGTATATCCTGTACTTATTCATTCATTTACCCGTTCATTTGCAAGAATAATTCTCTTGGGCAATGGGGCTCAGCAGAACACAGGCCGCACAGCTACGCTCACCAAGCTGGAAACACAATGTCTCGTATGCTGCAGCCGATGCTGATACAGCCGCTCACTGTAGCAGGCATCAGTCTAAGTTCCGTAACAGTCTCATGCATCGGATCCCAAGAGCCAGGCTCTGTGTCCTTTTTACAGTGAGAACCCTGAGAGGTTGCCAGGCAGCTGTGGGACAGGTGGAGAGGCACCCACACTGGCTGAGGGGCATCTACCCGCTTCCCCCACCCCCACCGTGAGGTCACACAAAGGTGAGGCAGCTGAACATGGCACAGAGGCAGTGGGCTGGGAGACCGGAGCTCCCTTCTCAGAGGTCCGTGACCTTGCCAGGCAGCCACATCCACGCCCATGATCCAGAGCACAGCCATCCTCTCAAAGCAGCCTTCTGATCTGAAGAACAAGATCGGATTTAGCATCCAGTGGCGTCCAGTGCGGTAGGATCAGAGTGAGATGAGCTTCACACCTCTGACTCTGAGCTGTGTGCCATGGACAGGATGAGGAACCTGAAATGTGGCACATTCGGGTCAGTCCCTGCTTGTTAACTCCACCACTGGCTCCTGTGGAGATCAGGTGACGTGGAGCAGGTCAAGCTTCTGCGTCTGTCCACCTCTGTGACGACCCTGTCCTGGGAGGCTCGTTGCAGGAAGACACCCACACTCTCCCTGACGCTGGACATTGAGCTTCCACTCCCATCTCTCCCCCCTAACTGGGCCATGTCTCCAAACCATTACTCCTTACCCCCAGGGTGCTGGTGGCAGGCCCAAAGCATCCTCAGAGACCAGCGTCCTCCCTGATCACAATGACCTCTGCAAGGAGGCCCTCTTTAGGAGCTGGGCCGCGATGTCATTCATTCTACTACTGGGCAAATGAGTCTGCCAGTGCCAACAATTTCCCCCTTCCAGAGGCCTATTGGGACATGGGCTGTGGACCAGGAATCCTGACACCAAAGCAGATCTGCTCAGCACATCTGGCTTCTGAGATCCCCACCATGCCCAAGCCTGTGGGTGGGGGAGAAGAAGAGGGAGGTGTCCTGAGCCCTGGCCCATGTGACTAGCCTAGACTGAACACCAGATAGCAACTCCTCAACACGTGGCCAGGGGAACCAAACAGAGCAATCACAAGTCACTAGGACCTCATCCTGCCTCAAACTCCAGCACAGTCTCCAAATGGCTGGATCCACCCCTACCTGGCACAGTGTTTCACGTGAGCCAAAGCTCACCGAGAAGTAGCATGTCCCCCAAATCCCACTGGTCACTCTGCTGATTTCAAGTAGGCCAGAGCTGGATTTTGAACAAAGACCTGATTTTATCCTTACTAGAGAGCTCTTAAGGGGAGAGGGTGTCCCGTCAGGGGCGAGAGGGTGTCCTGTCAGAGACACTGGGCAAGCCAAGATGATGGGTTCTTTGTGGGGTTGTTGAGTACAGAGCTACTGAAGGTATAAGTGCCCTCTCCACACACACACAGGAACTAGTTTCTGATTTGCTTTATTAATTTGCGAATGGTCAATGCACCTTGAATAAAGACATTAATAGCTATTCATGTATTTTCATCAAAGTTTATATCTTTGAAAGTTTGTATCTGGCTCTTCAGCCAGTGTTGAGAAGCAAGTCCTGTGCTGAATTCAATCAAGCAGGGACTTGGATTCTGTCTCCTCTGAACTTTGAAGCTCAGAGCACTGAAGTTGGGCAGTGAATCTCCAGTGGTCCCAGCCCGTTCTACCAGCGCGATCTCTCTTATTTCCAAAGCACAGAAGAGAAGCCACAGCCATAGTAAAATCACCAACTTTTATTGTCACTTGCATATTTCATAGAAAAAGGAATGTGGGGAACAGAGGTCCAGTAAAAAAACAACCAAAAACGCAGGTTTGTACACGTGGCTCTATTTATATCGGGGAGCGTGGTGCCCCCCACTTCAGGCACAGCAGCTGCAGCTCTCCGATGCCCCTTTGCACACGCAGCCCTGGGCACACTTGGCACAGCCCTGGGGGCAGCAGGAGCAGCAGCCTGGGGAAGAAAGGGCAGAGTGAGAAGCAGAGAGACCGCAGTCACCGGGGCAGGTTTCTGGCCCCTGCAGGCCTGGCACTGGCTGTGCCCCGGCCCTGGACGACCTGAGTTGAGGGTGCATGCCCTGTCCTGGAACCTTTCCCAAAGGGCCTGTCCTCTAAGACCTGCCCACCTAACCTCAGGACACACAGAAAGCCAGACAGACAGTGGCAGGGCCCGCGGGTAAAAGAGAGCGGCTCCCAAGTACCATCCAATAAAGTAAGGTGAGTCCTGAAGATCGTGGAAGGGTTAACTCCAAACAGGACAGGTCCCAGGAGGGCCAAGGAGGCTCAGGCTATGCCAGCAAGCCAGGGAGCCCACCAAGTTCACCAAGTTCAGGGGCACGAAGTACTTTAAGCCACTGGAGGGGGGGGGGGCAGGAGACTTCATTTTGGCTCATTCTGCTTCTGGTTCTGCTTCCTCATTCTGAGAGAGATTGGGACTCAGCCACCTCCATGGCTCCTTCAGTTCTGATTCTGGTTCAGGTGCAGAGGGACGCTCCTGCCTGCCCAGCTCTTGCCCCACTCCTGCCCAGCCCCCGGGGTCCCAGCAAAGCCCCCCCAACTCACTCTTCTTGCAGGAGGTGCATTTGCAGTCTTTGCACTTGCAGGAGCCGGCACAGGTGCAGGCGCCACCTTGATGTGGGAAAGACAGGCATGTAGGTGAGCAGATACAGCAGTGTGGCCAAAATGTGCCCGCCCCCTCTGGTCAGGACGCAGCCCTGGGAGCTCCAGCCCCTTTCAGGGCAGACTGAGGGCGCCCGGCCTTCCTTCTCCCCTTCTCCTGCTTTTCCTTCACTAAGAAGGCTCCTCGGGCCCCGAACCCCTAAGAGGCAATAACCCACTTCTCATCAAATCCTGGCAGCTTTAAGGCCTGGACAGAGCACGGGGTCCAGCAGTCTAGCCACCTGCAGAGTGACGGGGAGCGGCACAGCCTTGAGCCCTGACTCTGAGCTTTAAAACAGAGGCACAACGAGGACGCAAATGCTGTCCGCACGGAGACTGGGGCGAAAGCAGGAGCTAAAGCCCAACTCAGCCCAGACTCAGAGGGTTCCTGCTCCAACCCAGAGCCCAGGGTCAGCCGGCTCTTACCAGTGCAGGAGCAGTTGGGGTCCATTTCGCGCTGAGGTGAGACTGGAGGTGCGAAACTAGAGACGAAGAGGCGCGGGCGCTGGAGGAAAGCGTAGTGGAGCGGAGCCGCGGAGACCTGACTTATAGCCCGAGGCGGCGTCCCGGGCGCAAAGGCCCCGCCCCGCCCGCCCCGTGCCCTGCGGGGCAGAGTCGCCGCCCGCCGCCGGGCGCAGGCCGGGCTGAGTGCACCTGTCGCGCCGTGCGCACTGTCCCCGGAGCCCTGCGCAAAGTCCGCGTGGCGCGGCCGCCCCTGGAGACCTGCACAGCCCCTGGCGGTGGGTCAGGGGACGCGGTGTCCCTCTGCCCGCTGCCTTTCTCAATGATTCCATCTCCTGCAACCCTGTCCCCGGGGTTCCGGGCAATCAGCCCCAGTATCCCCTACCATCTTAGTCACCTCAGCGCCTCCCCCCAGCCCCCTGCCCCGCACCCTCCGGTGACCTTTCTCCCAGCCGAGCCGTGAGCAACCTCCCCATGCACTGGCCGGTGACTTGTACCTGGGAGTTGTGGGTCCGAGCTGCAGGACACTGTTTATCACTTGGTTCTTTCCCTGACTTTGCAGGGGTTACCTGCTCCACCCCACTACCCAGCTGGTGCACCCTAGTCAGTGATAGAGGGTCTCAAAAGGTGGGGTTGCCCTCCACCTCCACCCCACCAAAGGGGTCATTTTGGTTGACAGGCAGGCTTCTCATTAAATAGCAAAGCTGAAAAGTGATGATTTCAATGCACCTTGCAATTACACAGCATTTAGTCAGTGCAGGCCTGTTTTCACTGCTTTTATTCTTGGAACCATAACAACAGCCCTAAAGGGAAATCCTGTTTATGCGTTTTTTCCCAAAGGCAAAACGACCTACATCAAGAGGAGTTAAATAGAGAACCCAGGTCACAGAGCTAGGGCTAGAGCTGATTCAAGACACTTCCTAAGAGAAGGGGCCCAAGTGGACTTCCCGTGCGCCCAGGTGTGGTTTCAACAGCTCTGCTGCTCAGTCAAGCTTGGGAGGCACAGACAACACCAGAGCAATGTGCTGTGATTTTCTGTGTCTGGGAGAAAACGAGTCTTGCTTTTCACATATAGAAATTTATCTAGAAAATATAAATTCTTTTTTAAATGTT